ATACAAGTAGTCAGCACATACAGAGATCAAAAGGGTCAGTGATGACCACCACCAGCACAGCACGTGCTGCAAGGACAAAACAAATTCCACGCTGCTTGTGGGCTACAAGGAGTGCTTGGAGTTGCATTTGCAAAGATTCGTGGGTACCGCGCATGCGTGTCCGTAACACTTCCGCATTTTCAACATGGCCGCTTGAGATGGAAACCATTGTGATCGGAAACTTAAATTTTGATAATTTTAGTGATTGTTCCGATATTCCAATGACAATGAAAGTCAGTTTACATCTTTACATCCCCAAAACGTCTCTCTTAACAATAAACAGAATTACTAATACAAATTCTCCAAAAATAGGTACAAGAAAACTGAAAGAATGTACATGTACATGAAGCTGGTCCAGAGGAAAATAAAAAACATGGGAAGATTCTTTGTCCTTTCTATCATTGTCCACAGCTGTCTCAGCATGAAACCTCACCACGTTGTTAAATGTGTCCCTGCGGCATGTTTCCACCTTCTGTTGACCATAGGAACCTCTAGGATTGTGATTTATGATATAAATATCGCAGTTCATATTTTGGGTATTTGTTTTCTACAGCCAGAAACGCAAAATATCATAACTGACTTTAAAAACGTCCGACTTTTGCCAAATAACCAACGCTTATTTGGAATTTTCGAGTGCATCTGCGGAGATCACTCACTTACTCCTGAGGATGATAATGATTATTATGATTTGCTGTCTTTTTTCTTTCGTAACGTACTCCAGTTACATACACGTGTACAGGTACTTACACATGTACATGCTGGTACATACATGTATGTACATGTACATGTACCGGTACTGGTACGGTAGCGTATGAGACAGATGAGCCTCGATGTTCACAAACCTGAAGATATACATGTACCGGTACATGCACTATACATTTACAGTGTACATTTTACAAGTTGCCATTCCAAATAGATGTTCTTGTTCCTCCATGGTAATGCCAAGGTTCTCAGAAAGGTTAACACATTACCAAACCTAGTGCATTGTTTACATGTACCTGTATCTTCTATTTCACTTTAGCCACTTGGCCATCATTTGCTGCCTTGTACTGTACATATACATGTACATGCCTGTACTTGTACTCTACACGTGTGTACACTTGTGGTAATGCCACCAACTACATAAGAAATAATGACATTTAATGTACTGGATACTAGAGCACATGGACACAGAAATGATCCATAAGATATACCAGTTGTACACTTGTACATTGCCTTAAACCTGTATCGGCATCAGACTGTTCAAAGTCCAGTATTCTTGTACATGTACAATGATGAATTTATTGAATGGTAACAGTTATCACTGAAAAGATTCCATTTTAATTTGAGGCTCACCCTCTGGCACTGATCATCCCTTCAAAATAATTAAAAATCAGACAATTTTCCTTGTTTGAGCCAGCAGTCATGTGTAGAAGTTAGTTTATTCATTGTTTCAGCACTTTTTTCTTCCACGTCCATGGCCAAGGTTGAATTCCATGAGTTTATGTAATACAAATTTTGCCTCGAACCAGGTTTTGTGGAGATGTTGCAATTTCTCATATTGAGGAATAGATATCCTGCTCAACAAGAAACTGCCTTTCCCAGTGAAACCTTTCAAGGGACAGCGAATGCTACATGTACATGTAGCATGCTAACAGAGTATCTGTGAGAAATCATTGCTACATGTACAAGGCAGTGAGATCTGTGGTTTTTCAGAAAAATGAAAAAACTGCTAGTTTCTACAATATGATCAATAAATGTTGGCGTACTGTCATTTGTGACATTTTGAGGGTTAAAGTGTGTCCTTTTGTTAATTTGTGGGCCGTCCTTAGTAGTGAATACATCCCTTTTAGTGTGCTCAAGATTCCTGTGGTTTTAAAAGTCAGCCTGTACTTTTCTTTGAGCCTGTAATTTGTCTTTTACAATGCTAAACAGAAAAAATAAGTTCGATTCCCATCCATCTGGATGGGCATGGTTGACATTCCCTGTACATGTAACCTTGACAAAGGTGTTTGTACAGTGTGTGTTGTGTGGAGGGAATTTTGTACCTCTCTGATTTTTATTATCTAATATCCCTGGAACCAAAGTAACGTAACAGAATAAAACAAAAGGAATGATAATGATTGATGCTTTGCACGTGATCTTAGAAAATTTTATAGGTTCAGCAGCAATAAATAGGTGGCTACTATACATGTAAATGTACATGTATAAAAAGTCATCTTTAAAATCTTTTCTGAATAGCCATATGTAAAAGCCTTTTACTTGTCCACTTGTCCACTTGTAGGCTATCTATCTTGACTCATACACGTACCGTTCATGTACCTGTTCGTGATCAGGCTAGAAATCTTCATTTTTCGTGTACGTGTACATGTACACGTATACAGTAGTATACTGGTAGTGGTTGAATGTGTAAGTACATGAACGTGTACATGTACAGTACATGTACATGTATGCGTGCATGTATTGTACACATACCTGCCAAGTCTCGCGCATAAGGCGTGTGACACACACATTTTGACCAAATCTCATGCTCACACACATCAAGCTCAAAATCTCACGCATTCTGCAAATGATGACGATAATTCACAAAAACTCATGCATTGGACAACAAGGTTAGTCGCGTGCATCAATTTGCTTTCTATATAATGTACATGTACTGCATGCGCGCACTGGACTGTATTACAGTATTAGCCTTCAGTCAAGGCTCACCTGGACACATGGTGCACACATGAGGAAGACAGGCTGTGCAGAGCAAGTGGCAAAGCTTGTGTGCGTCCTGAATACACGCGTGGAGCTAGTCGCCACGCGCGCGACTATGCACTACTGATGACTCACGCCATGTGTAGGCCGTCTCTGAAACCGGCTTCTAGAGTTTCGGCTAGGTCTATTTTCTTGGCGTCTCCACGTTGAGCGAAGACCTACATGTAGACCTAGGCCTAAACAACAGATCTGAATGCAGCATACATGTAAATAGATCGGTAACGCATGCTGTACTGCCGCGCTTTAAATTTTCCGTTCTGTCATGGACAGGTGCTGCAGAATGTACATGTAGTACATGGGCCATGCACTCAAACTTTTTCCCAAATGTTTTCATTGACATTTTGTATAAACGTTAACTTGAAAACATCATTTTCACGACACAGTTGAAACAAATCGTGATGTGATTTAGTTTTGTGATTTTTTAAAAAGAATTATAACGAGCCTCGAGGGATCCATACATTTCATGCATTAACTTACATTTGGTTTTGATGATGTCACCATGAATATTTTATTAAAATTATGATGTCACGATATGATTATGCATTATAATGGACGTGGGTTTCAATCGGACAAAACAATCTCACTCGTTGGGATTTCTGAAACTTGGCAGGTCTGCTGTACATGTACTGTACTTACATGGATGGTACCTGTAGCTCTGTTAATAATTCATGGGAAATTTTTTCCCCTTCTGCTGTATGTACATGTACCAGTATCTATAGGCCTACATGTACAGTATGTCCATGTAAGTACGTACACATGTACAGTGTACATGGCGTCATGGCATGGTGATTCACAGCAGTGTTGTATATCTTAATCACCAACAGTGCCATGCCACTACTGCATGTGTATTTATATAATTTTCAGAAGGAAAAAAAAAATATCTGTCAGACAGTCCCTCATCAAGTGCACTAGAGCTGACATTACGGCAATGTTATTTTCCAAGTGCTGTCACTCTTGATGTCACTCCATAGATGTTTCTTCAGTGAAACAATCACAGTTATTTAAGTTGAATGAAGCATATTCTTGCTAAAGTGTACATACATGCACATGTATTCACCTGTACATGATAATGAATGTTTTCAGCAAGTACATGTATTTTAGCAGTTCATGTCAAAAGATTTAATCAAGTGATAAAAAAATCATAGAGACAGATACATGCTGTACAGTTTAGTACTTATGTCAGTAGACTGTCGTTGCAGATTTAAAAGAAGTTAAAAAAAAAACTTCCAGTATGAAGACGATGACGACGATGAACCGTACATCTTTAAATGTGTTCTTGGCATATGGTAGCACAGGGATAATGAAGATTTACATGTACATGTACAGTGCATACACGTACATGTACGTGCAGTTTGAAGTACATGTGTACAGTGTAGCTTCAAAATTTGCAGTTTGACTGAGTGAGGTCTCTCATGACTCAGATTCTGTCTGGCCCCGTCATTGTCGAGGCCACGGCATTTTACCACAGGCAAATAAAATTATCTGTGCATAATGGGAAAAGGAGGGAAGCTCTGGTCACCATTGAAATTTCACATGTACAGTGATGATGTCATGTAGTTGAAAATGCTCTAAGTCTTGTGGTTTGTGAATGATTTTAAATACAGAAATTATGCATTTAAGAAATTTTTTGCATTCTGTACACTATGACAAATTTATTTTCAGACAATTTCTATTTGTATACATGTGCGCAGTAGGATTTTTAAAGAACATGTATAGGACTTGCACTGCAGGCACATCGCAGTAAATAAATCACCACATTTTAACCACTTTTCAAAATTTGTAGTGGCAGGAGATATGTTTTCTGTCATTTAAAATGCACAGACTGTTGTGACGTAAAGCAGGACCTTTGCTTGTCATCCTGGTCATGTGTGAGGTTACATGAACATGCACATTTGTATTGTGGGCTGGCACATGTACATGTATGCTGATGTTCTTAAATAAGGTGGGGGTAATTCTCAGAAAGCAAAGGAATCTGTTGAGACACATCTTCATAAAATGAGAGTGGGGAAACAAGTTTTTGGTTTAATTTGCTGCCTACTCATTGGGTATGTCTTGTGATTTATTTTTGGGTCGCATGGAATTGTCCAAAGTTAATGACTTTTTACAGGTACTTGGTACATTTGTTCAGATTATAGACACTTAAATTGCTTGTGTCATCACTTTGGTATTTTCATGTTAGTTCAGAAGATTTTGCAATTTTGTTCCATGCTTTTCTTCTGCAGATGTTCTGGAGGGCTACAATGGAACTATATTTGCATATGGACAGACATCTAGTGGGAAGACATTTACGATGGAGGTAACAATAATAACTCAGTGGTTTACTGCACAAGTTTATTATAGAAGATACATGTGGATGAAACATACTTGATGATGGGAGACAGAAAATAAACAGTGTTGGAAATGTTTCTCATATAAAATTGCACGTTTGTCGTCAACCAAGTACATGTATGATGTATAGCATTCATGTCATATACCGTGCTTGTTTTCTACAAGCTATCTGACACCTTGCTGTACATCATTCAAGATACATGTACAGAGGAGATACTCGTGTTCATAGACAAGAAAAATCATGGCAAACCTGTAAATTTTTACTTGGGGCTGGCTTGAAATTATAATTAGTAAGCATGGTGATAAGTACAGGGCTGGAATACATGTACATGTACATTCTGACATGATAATTAATTAGAAAAGCACAATGGAGCAGAGCGGCAGACTCGGCCATGGTTGGCTTCACTGAGCTAATAACATCTTCATGCACTGTGATGGTCATGGCCGTGCATGCGATGTGTGGCGTCATACATGTACAGTAGTTTTGGGGATTTTTTCTCAAAGGACAACAGACTTAGGACATTTAGCGGTAGCCCATGACAAGCTTTATCTGTATTTGTAAGTATCATGATTTTCAAAAGAAAGATATATCACAGACAAATCACATTTTGTGTTTGTTTTTGTTCTCTTGTGTCATGGACTGTATGTCAGACATCAGTTGACATACATGTACATAGGGGTATACACACATCTATGTAAAATGAGTAGAAAAAACACTGCTACATTTAATTTCAACAGGGTGTCCTCAATGATGAAACATACATGGGCATCATACCTCGTATTGTCCAAGATATCTTCAATCATATCTACCAAATGGATGAAAGCCTGGAGTTCCATATCAAGGTACACATGTTGATACAAAATTACAAATGTTTTACATTCATGAGAACTACAGCTTGGCTGAATGTGAAGAAAGATTTGTGTTAACTCTACTACGTACAAGCGTCTCCACAGTGAGGGACTTCTTGTTGTGTTTATTGATTTATTTATATCTGATCATCCAACATAGCATTGAGCACTAATTACGTGATTATAATGAAGAAATATTCAGTTTTAGTGGGGGAGGAAAATCCTGGATAAGTGTTTCAGGGAAAACCCATGGAATCAGGTAGGGACTGAAAACCCAATCCACATGTGAACTGAGCCGGATTTTAACCCAGGCCCCCAGAGGTAGAAAGTGAGGAAAGAAACACCACGCCAACCTGAAGATTTTGTTCACAAGTTGTTTCTTTAAAAAAGAGATTATTTTGCAGTGTTTGTCTTTTTTGGCCGCAGGTTTCCTATTTTGAGATCTACATGGATCGTATCCGGGATTTACTGGACGGTTTGTATAATTCCTGTCCCCTTCCTCAGTCATACTTGCCTGCATACAAATTGTTAACAAGACATTCCACATGTGAATCATCACAAGGGATGGTTGTATTGTATTCTTAGATGCAATAATTCAGTATGCTCTCTGGTTTTGTACTGAATACATTTAAAAAATAGGTGTTCCAAATGTTTACGTCTATGTACATGTAAGTGTCATAGTTGTACCAAATGTTGCATGCATGTACTGTAGACTTAACTAATTTGAATTTGATCTCTGTATAGTTTCCAAGACCAATCTTTCTGTCCATGAGGATAAGAATAGGGTCCCTTATGTGAAGGGTGCCTCAGAGCGGTTTGTCTCCAGCCCTGAAGAAGTGATGGAGGTCATTGATGAAGGCAAATCTAACAGACATATAGCCGTTACAAGTAAGTCTTCAAGAGTAACTTACAGGTACATCTGTTAGTCATTTTGGATCCAATATGGTGTTACACACAATTTCCTGACAAATTTGGGAACTTTTTGTTGTTCTACAGATATGAATGAGCACAGTTCACGTAGCCACAGTATCTTCCTGATCCAAGTGAAACAGGAGAATGTGGAGACACAGAAGAAACTTAGCGGCAAGCTGTACTTGGTTGATTTAGCTGGTAGTGAAAAGGTGATACATTCCTGTATTTCAAAATTTCCTGTTATAACTTAAAGACCATTGAGTCATATCCACTTAGTTCACAATATCCCACTTTCTGTAATATTGTAGGTCAGCAAAACTGGAGCGGAGGGAACAGTGTTGGATGAGGCTAAGAATATCAACAAGTCATTATCAGCACTTGGTAATGTCATTTCAGCCCTGGCAGATGGAACGGTAAGGATTTGTCATAGAAGAATACATGTCTGTTCCCTCAAATTATTTGGGCAATAGACTATTTCACAGTGTGTTGGTTTTTACATGAACAACACTGAAATGTGTTCTGAAGTTTTTTTATTGGGCCCAAGTATTAAATGATTGTAACACTTCACAGGGTATACATACCATGTTAATTGAACAATATTATTGAAGCTGTGATACTACTAAATTGTGCTAACAAGTTGTTATGGTTTGTATATATGGTTTGTAATGCTTCAACTGAAAATTTTGCCGACACTGTCTCTTAATGTTATATTTAGATTTGATAGCTGGGTCACATTATGGGTACATTTCACTTCAGAAGATAATTTGATTGTGCTGTGTTTTTTTGACAGAAAACCCACATCCCATATCGAGATAGCAAGATGACCAGAATTCTGCAAGAATCTTTGGGAGGTAATTCCAGGACTACCATTGTCATCTGTTGCTCACCTTCCTCCTTCAATGAAGCAGAAACCAAGTCCACGTTGATGTTTGGTCAAAGGTACATATATCATCTATGTCCTCCATGTGCAGATACTTTAGTCTTAAGGTTTAAAAAGGTCTCTGTATATGACCATGTCGTTCTTCTTGCTATTGCAGAGCAAAGACAGTCAAGAACACAGTAACAGTGAACATAGAACTAACAGCAGAAGAGTGGCGGTCTAGATATGAGAAGGAGAAAGAAAAAGTGTTGAAACTCAGAGCACAGTTGCAGGCAGCAGATGCAGAACTGCGCAGATGGCGTGCCGGTAATGTGGTCAAAGAATTATTTGGGGGCATTTGCATGAAGTAATGAATGACACTATGCATTTGGTTAATTTTCTATCCTCACACGATGAAATAACAATACCATATGGAGTGGAATCATCCCTCTGGTTAACTCCCTGAAAATGGAACAATTGAATTATTGTTGCAGCATGTTTAGCACCAAGAGCTATTTGAAACTCACAAACCCCTTAATAAATGTCTGTTTTATTTACTGATCAAGTATCTTGATCAAGCTGTATTATTCTAGTGACAGAGCTAGAACTCACAGTTGGTGGTTGTACACCATCAAACTGCTAAAACTTGGAGATCTGGGAATTGTGTGAACCATGATTCAAGTCATGCATTTTATGATTTTTGAATCACGCTTGAATTTCTGAGAGGTGATGATTGTTTCATCCTTTTAACAAAGAAAATTATAATTTTTTTTCTAGGAGAGTCTGTTCCAGAGAATGAGCAGAACATCAAGGATGTGAGTATTTTGAAGGAGGTTGCTCCACCCACCCAGACAGTGACTGTGTCTGTCTCAGAAGAAGAACGAAACAAATGGGAAGAAGAGAGGGCCAAGCTTTATGAACAACTGGATGAAAAGGTATGCCATGTGTAAACTTGCTGTAATAGCAGTTGTCATAAAGGTCTTATGTCAGTATGTATGATTAGTTTCTGTGTTCCCGTCATTAAGAAAGTGGAGCATCTCCAAGAAAAAATCACAGCGAGTTTGATTTTTATTATCTTACAGGACAGTGAGATTGACAGCCAGTCTCGCCTGACAGAGAAGCTCAAGGAACAGATGCTGGACCAGGAGGAATTACTGTCCTCCATCCGTCGTGAATGTGAATACTTACAATCTCAGATGACACGGCTGGATACAGAGAATATTGCTGCTAAAGAGGAGGCTAAGGAAGTTCTTCAAGCGCTGGAAGAGATGGCTGTTAATTATGATGAGAAATCTAAGGAATTAGAAGATAAAGCTCGTGCAAATGAGTCTCTGACAGAGGAACTTGGCGAGAAGCTGGTGAGTGCTAGATTTGAGTCTATTCAGTGTGGAATATTTGTTCAAAAGATTGGCCAGGATGCTGGAATGCCTTGCATACAGTGTGGTCATTTATCACATTGTTAATTATTCTTGCTGTGTATTTTTATAACAGAATTCTCTGAATGCCATCACAACCCAGTTGGAAAAAGTGCAGGAAATGGAACAACAGCAACGCAGACGAACAACAGAGATGATGACCAGCCTGCTGAAAGATCTGGGAGAGATTGGAAGTGTGTTGGGTGGCAATGTAGCTGATATGAAGGTACATGTACAACATGAACCAAGGGAGCACGGAGATGTAAACATTTCCCTCTTCTTCCCTGTTATTTACTTCACCCTTATCTCTGTCTTTGGTGCATCTTGACACGAGTGTTCTTGAATGAACAAATTGGATATTATATTAAATGATAATTGTTCTTGTTGAATTTTTATACCTCAGCTGAACATGGAAAACACAGAGAAAGTTGATGAAGAGTTTACCATGGCTAGGCTGTATGTCAGCAAAATGAAGACAGAAGTGAAGACTCTCCATCAACGTTGCAAGAACCTAGAGACAACATCTGTCAGTGCAACAAAGAAGTTAGAGGAAGATGAGAAAGAACTGGATTCCTGCAGGATGCTCATTGCTCAGGTGAGTGTCTATAGTAGGTGTGCCAGATACTCCTTGCTCAGTTGAGTGTCTGTAGAAGGTGTGCCATATACTTCTTGCTCAGGTGAGTGTCTGTAGTAGGTGTGCCAGATACTCATTGCTCAGGTGAGTGTCTGTAGTAGGTGTGCCAGATACTCATTGCTCAGGTGAGTGTCTGTAGTAGGTGTGCCAGATACTCATTGCTCAGGTGAGTGTCTGTAGTAGGTGTGCCAGATACTCATTGCTCAGGTGAGTGTCTGTAGTAGGTGTGCCAGATACTCATTGCTCAGGTGAGTGTCTGTAGTAGGTGTGCCAGATACTCATTGCTCAGTTGAGTGTCTGTAGTAGGTGTGCCAGATACTCGTTGCTCAGGCAGATGTCTGAATTATCAAGAATATTAAAAAATTCCAAATTAATGTGGATTGTATTTCTTTCACAGCAAGAAGCCAAGATTAAAACAGTCCATGAAAATCTACGTGAGGTGGAGTTGAAGAAACAGAGTCTGGAGGACAAGCTGGACATTTTGAATGAACAGCTTGAGCAAGTCACAGCTGAAGGTGAGTCTGATGCCATACACATCTTGCCAACACAGGAGACGGTGCTGTGGCTCCTTTCTCGCCTTCGACCTTTGGATGAATGTAGTTCACAAAACACTCCATGTGTTGGTTGTTGGTCTTTGTAACCACCTTGTTCACGTCTTGCTTTTCAGCTGAACAAAAGCGTGCAATAGAAGGCAAAGCTTTAGAGGACAAGGCAAGAGAGACTGAGGAATCTGCCAAGGAATTGCAGGTACTTTCTGATTTTATTTTTGATGCTTTTTACCAAAGAGTTGTTGCCAGGTTTTAATCTGCATTGTTCTTTTGTACTTCCTTCCCAGTGTGGTGTTATATTTCCTGGTGATTGTACCACACGTCATGTAGACAAATTTGACAAACGCATTTAGAAGTTGTACGGGTACATTAGTGACACCACACTCAAAAGGAGGTTGTACCCATGAGTTACTTACTTCTCCAACTAGAAAGGAGTTTTTCTTTACTGAAAGCACGCACTAGTCCAGCTTACGAATGTATAAAACATGTAGTGGTGTATTGGTGTACATCGCAAGTCCCTGTAAGTCTATCACAAGTCATTCAGTCTTAAGGCAATTCACAAGCTATTCAAATGAGCTATGACAGAAGCATTCCTTTGTCATTGTTCACCCCGTTACTTATGACTGGCCTTGTCAAGGGACGTGTGACTGGACTGGTGAAAGGACTTGTGATGAACTCAAATACAACACTGACAACATGGATGCGAGTGTGGTGCTACTGGAGGAATGGTGTCTCCTAGGATGAGCTAATAGTCACGGGATCTGTAATGATTTCCATGTGTATATTTCCAGGCTAAAATGGAAGCTCAGATGGAAAAGCATAGGGAAGCTCACCATCAGCTGCTGACTAGCCTCAGGACCGAGATCTCTGAGAAAGAACATCTTATTGAAGAACTTAAGGAGTAAGTAGCCTCACGATTTGTCACATGCTGTTGCCGCTCAATTTGGATAGGTAAACAAAATGGTACCATAACCACTGTTTGAACTAAACAGTGGCAATTTGTCCATGAACATGATGAACACTGTTGTCGCTCTGTGAACCAAATTAAGTGTCCATTAACATTATGACCAATCTGTGATCCTTATGATTACCTTCTTAATTAAACACTTACTGTATCTCTGATCTCTTTGATTACAGTGTCAACCAAACTCTGACCCTGCAGCAGGAGAAACTTCAGTTGGACTATGAGAAACTCAAACAAGAAGAAGCAGAGAAGTCGCGTAAACTTCATGAGCTAAGGTCAGAACTGACAAACTGTTGACAAGTGTTTTAATGAATAACTCAACGGCAGAGTAGGCAGTTAATGGTTGATTTGGAGGAATTGGTCCTACACTCTTCAGTCTCTTACATTATCCATGTCTGTTGTAAATACTTTTGAGCAGAATTTGTGAGCTTGTACAATCCATGAGCTTATCAAGCTATATCAATGCCAGTTGAAGATTTTAGTTCAAGGCATAAAGGCATAAGTTAGGCAGAATTGTGCTGTTATTGTCACATTGTTCTTTTGCATTTTCTTAAACTTTTCAAACAGCCAACAAGCTGACAGGAGGGAACAAGCTAAGCAGGATCTCAAAGGACTTGAAGAGACAGTGGTATGTCTTTTTTTTTCTTTCAGTTCTTCATTTTGAATGAGTATGATATAAACATAGTGGTATGATAAGCTATATTTTACCTTAAATAAAGTTAATTAAACTGTAAAGTTGCATAAGCCTCATAGAAGTAATTTGAAAGAAGGAAGAATTGGTAAAACAAAATCAGTTAAAATCTAATGAAACAAAAAAGCCAGATTTTGACCTTTTCCGTCTGGTCCCGATCATTTCCTTTAAGGCCAAAGAGTTGCAGACACTTCACAACCTGCGTAAGCTGTTTGTGCAGGATCTGCAGAATAGAGTCAAGAAGGCGCTGGAAGGCAGTGATAGAGATGATGATGCAGGTGGAAGCCAAGCACAGAAACAGAAAATCTCTTTCCTAGAGAATAACTTGGAACAATTGACCAAGGTTCACAAGCAGGTAGGTGGAGGAACAGCCATTTTGAAAGGGTTTCCACAACTTAACATACGTGAAATGAAATAACCTGGAACAATTGATCATGGTTCACAAGCAGGTAAGTGGAGTAACAGCTGTTTTCAAAAGGGTGTCTGCTAATGAGTGCTTGAATGAATACTGTTGGTCACGCAAAGGTATGCCTCAATTTGCAGCCTAAAAACACCATTTCTGGTATTTTTCATGTAATGAATTTAAGTATGAAATGTTTTTAATTGTACACGTGAAGCTATGTGGAAGAGTCCTTGTAATGCTAATCAGTTGAATTCCCTTTTTGTTAAAAGCTGGTGCGTGACAATGCTGATCTACGCTGTGAGCTACCCAAATTGGAGAAACGTCTGCGTGCAACATCAGAACGAGTCAAGTCTCTTGAAGCTGCTCTCAAAGAAACAAAAGAGGGTGCCATGCGTGACCGCAAAAGGTATGCTGCGTGTTGTTTGGGTATTGTTCGAATGTAATGGTGTGTTTGTAGTGATGTAATTCATTATTTCAAGAAATTAATATATGAACATCTTGGCACTGCTTGTTTTTGGATTCCTGCAAGCCCATCTGCAGCCACATGAAAAGTCAACCATCTAACCAAAGCTTTTTATCTTGTCCTGCTTGCTAGAACTGTTGGTATGTGGAGTCTCAGTGTATGTTAGGAGGTAGACAAAGCTGTGTTGTCATACTTTAACCAATTAAAAGTTTGTGTTTGTTTGGGTCCAGGTACCAACAGGAGGTAGACAGAATTAAGGAAGCTGTTCGTCAGAGGAACATTGCTAGGAGAGGGAATGCTCCGCAGATTGGTGAATTGATTTACCAGTAATCATTCAGTTGGAAGTGCAAGACAAAATGAAAGAAATATTAGGGAAACTGTAACATAAACATTTGGCATTTTATTTATTTAACCACTTCATGCCGGGGCATTTTTCAATGTTGATGATGCTGGGCCGGCATGACTATCATTTTTTTCATTTTCAAAATCCTTCAAAATTCCTAATTTCATCTAACGGTCGTTTATACCCGCACTAAGTAATCTTTAGGCACTACTCTAAGTTAACAGGTGACCTTCAATGACACCTGAGTATTTCAGCCAGGCCAGCAGCCTTGTAAACAGAGCCCAGATTGTGCGGTGTTGTATAACTGTCTTTTGTTCACGAACCTGGCTTAGTGCACTGCTGACCTCTTTTCAATAGGGGCCAGATCAGCGTGCAGCGGTGCTTTGTGGCTCATCGCTGCGGTGGTGGAGCACTTTTGTCCCCAGTGGTAATCCGCTCGCTCTCAATGCCCAAACCCTGGTATACGGTTTCAAAAGAAGGCTGGATTATCTCCATTATTGAGAGTGAAAAATGTCGGTAATGCCCAGCAGCCTGGTCTTTTGTTCGGAGTACGGTCTTTTGTTACAGGGCCCTGTTTCCTTTGTCCGAGTTCGGAGACCCCGGCCACCCATATAAACCATTCGTCTCCGATCCCGGAGTCCCCGGCTGGAAGTGGTTAATAGGATTATTTTACAGACTGACCTTTCATGTCCAAGCTTAATCTTTTTTTGTGAATGCAGCAATGACTTTATTTCCTGACTAACCTTTCTTTGAATGTGTTCCACAGCTAAGGCTATCCGTGCTGGTCACCCGCCTCTCTCCCCTGGCTATGCTGGTATCAGAGGTGGGGGTCATGTAGTTGGCATCCGTGGAGGTGGGGGACAAGGTCCTATCATTAGACCCAGCCCTCAGCAGAGTCCAGACAGTAATGTCAGCCCCAACCAGCAGTTCGGGCAAATCAGTGTGGACAAATCGTAAGTGGGTAGTAAGTTGTAGTGATGGAGTATATGGAGACATTGCCAGGTTCAAATATTTTTGGAAGATGTAGCTGGGAAGTGCATGATCATGTCTTTGTAATGTTAAAGTTAACCTGTTGATGTGTATGAGGTATGCTTTGGAGTTGATCAAACAGATGGGAAAAGAGTATCTATTCTCATCATCTCTTGCCACTGAGTTGGAAATAGAGAAAAAACAAATGCGTTTAAAGACGATAGCTCGGTTAACTGCAGTTTGGTTCAGTCTGGTTGCTTTTGGGTTTGGTTGCCGATATTGTGTTGATAACTTGTTTAACAAACACTTGAACACAGTGTGCTTGCTATTTTCATTTGTTGCTTCTTTTTTTTAATGCACAATGTGTAGCATATTTTGTAAAATTAACCCTAGCTTTCCCAAATCCTCCAAATTCATCCTGGCACGAGTGGAACATTTTGAAGGAGTGAGGCAATGTGGCAAAAAATGTGGCCGATTTGTAAGGGTGTATTGTAAAGTCCAGAGCTTTCTGTGTTGTGGAAAGCGGGAAAAAGGCGATTCTCATTAAAAAAATAAATAATTAAAACAATAATTTTGATCGTTCCGGCACAATTAATCAAATAAGTATGAACCCAAATTAGGAATGACAGCTCATTTTCACTGTTTAACTCACTTTGAAAGTAACAGGTAGCGTTTCCCCTCCTGGTTTTCCTTTACGATATCGCAGAGATCGGTATTGATTTCCTCCGGCTCTGCTCCGTGGAGATCACACTGGTCCCCGTTCCCTACATAGTGCCCCCCGTTCCCTACATAGGGCCCAGACGTCTCACGGCTTATGAATAAATCTAACAGGACGGGGACCAGTCCAAGATCACTGTGGCATGGTGCGTGTAGGCCCTACAGTGTACACGTATCATTATGCCAAAGAAAGCTGTAGATGTATGGTAAAAGTAGGCCTTCAGTACATATATGCAGTACATCTATGTGACCAAAGGGTTATCTGATAACCCTTTGGTCATATAATTTTATATTAAAATTTAGAAAGCAGAAGCAAGCAGAATTTGACTTTCAGAATGCAGAAAATTCTGCACTTTAGTGTATTGTGTCAAGGTCTTGGGCAAAACCTTGTGATGTCCACACTCAGCCATGCATAAAGTTTGGTCCAATTTGAACGTCAAAGCATCCGCACTGCTCCTGGATGTCATTCATAATGCCTCAACATTTTGACAGGAATTACAGGAAGATGTGGATGGATAGGAAGATGTGGATGGATTAAAACACTGGTCACAGATCCAAGGAACACATTTAAGAACTAATGAAGGGTTTTGGAAGATTAAAGCTGTGTATTTTGCATGATTATAATGATGTTTGCACTGATCAAGTTGCTGCATTTACATTTATCTGGAATGAAAATATTGCAGACAATGGTAACCTGCAGCTTTTGTTTGAAGTAAAAACCATCCTGCCTGCTGTATGTTCTGCAGTGCATTACATCTGGATGTTCCAACATGCAGGTTGTGCTTAACTACATGATTGCCATCTTGGAAGAGCCTCAATATTCTGCTTATAGATCAACACAGTTTCATTCTCTAATTTGAAGGATTTGAGACGGAGATTTCCTAAATTTGTATGGGCTAACAACCACTATAATGTGGATCATTGGACAGTTATCAAATCAAAAGTTTCAGTGCAGGCCTTGGATTCATCATTTTCAATTGTCATGAACTTTTAGTTGTTCATTGATTGATGAAATGTAAATGAAAGCTGACGTCAAAACCTAAATTTATTTGAGATGCTTTGAAATTTATAACAAAGTAAGAGATAAACCTCAGCCAAGCTTTTCAAAATATTGTCTGAAGAGATTGAAAAGGTGTATTATCACATTGCATGCAACAGAAGTCTTAGATACATGCAGTTAGTGCCACGATGAAAATGTACTAATATAGATGATGGTGTTGGTCAGTTCTCTGTAAGTTCAGAGATGAAGGTTTCATGGGAATACACATCAAGATGGCACTTGAGTAAAAGCATTTCAAAACCCTTTTGTTTGCATGCTGCATGTTTTGTCCAATGTGCTTTTTATGTTTATTAACCACACCCACAGTAAATCAGAGGTCTTCACCTACCCCAGCCCGTCAAATACGGGTGAAAAACCAGTCAGAAGAAAACACCATGGGCATCGAAGCCGCGCCCACTCTCATGACAGTCCTAATGCCCCCCATCAACAGCAATCCCAGCATGCTTCTTCACCTAATGTATCCCAAGATGCAACTGAGGGGGCAGCAGGGGCACAGTCTGATCCATTGTTAACGTTTGTATTTTTTGTTCTTTGGTTTGTTGGTTGTCATATGAGTCATTCTGTTTTGTTCTGTTTTATGTGTATGCATGGAAAAAATATATAGCAGTTTGTACCTTGCTGTCTGAGACAAATGTAATTTGGGTGTTTGTGCTGAAAACACTAACAGAAGAAAGAAATGTTGACATTTGATATACATAACCGCTAGAGTTAACCCTAACAGCCAAGCACGTCATTTGGCTTACAGCACTCAGTACTATCGAATACTAAATAGCTAGAAATCTGAGCCTGAAGGACCTAGCCCTACAAATTGTTACTCCTACAGAGAACAATGAAGTCATGCATTCACAGTGCCACAGAACTGTATGGTACATTGTCTTATCTATGAGATTTTATGGCTTCGGAAAACAATAAGGTCATGTCCCCTTT